GAAAGAAATGTTTAATAAAGTAAACAAATAAATATTAAGTTTTTTTTTTTTTTTTTTTTTTTTTTTTTTGTAAATTTTGATACCCTTTAGATCATAATTGCTCTTTATTTCATAAATTGCGTTTCATATTTTTAATTTTATAATTTCTGCATGCCATCTTAGCAGATTTAAACTGATGATCTATAATCCGGAATCTCCGAAGTGCCGATGAGTCCGGATTAAAGACTTTTGACTGCATAAGTTTTACACAAAGATTTACATAAATTTTCAAGATGAAAGTTACGCTCTTTTGTTTTGGTACATATATTGATACAGGATGGTACATATTTTTTTTATTCTTATTTACAAAGTATAATATGTATAAAAAATGTATGAATAATTATGTGTAAAATTTTAAAAGTTTGAGAACCTCTGCATTATGATAATATTAATTCTCGTCAGGTGTTAATTCGTAATTGATTATGATCAGGTTTAAAATGTAGCGCAATAAACCTTTATAAAAATTCAGATTGTATATTTCTCAACACGTATGCGAATGCTTCATCTTTTAGATAACATAAAAAACTCGTGAACACTTCAGCTCCTTGATGACAATGGACTCATGACAGTCGTTAACTCAAAAGATTGAGGGATTTGACAGCCGAGTGTAACCTTTAATGTTACGTTCTGTTACCCTTTACTGCTACAATGTATATGTTGAACAATGCCCTGTTTTCATATCTTTCAAAAATAGCCTATCCCATAAGAAGACATGTGTGTAATAAGTAAACGAATATAACTTCCTGTTAATAGAAGCAATCATCCTGTTTTAGTCGCGCTATTTCAGTCACAGTTCACGCTCTTTAAAAGAGATTATCGCCATTAGGTGCTTACCGAGCATCCTGGGCTGTTACAAGTTCTGCCTACCTTGTTTATGCCTGGTTATTGCCGCACCTTTTATTTTCCTCTTTTCTGATATTGATAATCCAATCGAGCTTCAGACTGGAAAGTTTTAAATGAAGCTATATATATGCGCCACACGACGTACTTTTCAACGATTAGGTCCTGTTCCTATTGTTTGTGCATCCCATTTACTTTTTAATAATGGTTATTAGAAGAGAATGTTTGGGATTGGAAGAATTACCTTATCCGAAACAACCACTGTAAGCAACTTAAATAAGGATTCTTTGTTGCTGAAATAAAATAATATCTTAATATGTGCATAAATTTCATTGAATATTGTATCTCAAGGCTGCACTTACATGTATATTTCAGGTACAGAAGTTGTGTTTCATAGCTTTAGCGGTAGCCATGTTGTTACCTCAATAAAAACGAATATCAGTGAATCAATGTTGTTACTTAAAACTGCTTCTTCATCCTCAGTTTTAAGTAATCTTAGATACCTGGCGTCAGCTAGAACATTTTACAGGGGCTCTTAAATATTGCTTATCCGCTAAAGTCCCCCCCCAAAAGTGTATTAAAAAAATTTGAAGTTAAAAGATTGTAAAATTTCTGGATTCCGAATAGAAATTTCTACCTGTATAACAACTCCCGAATAACAGGTGTGAATTAAATGCGACCCATCTAAAAAAAATTAAGTTCCTTTATTGCGGAAAGATGCAAAAATTGCTATCATGAACCATCATCGTAAAACAAAACTATCTATGGAAAATACAAATAAACATTGTAGAGTCATTAGGATTTTTGGAAGCAGACAAGATGAAAAATGAGCAACCACCTTCGCCGGGAATCGAACCACGGACCTCTGGAATACCGGCCCAGCGTGCTACTGTTACACCACGAAGGCACGCTAGGGAAGTGGGAGAAATACCTTATGTACTCCCCTTTTTAAAGGGCGACTAGGATTTTAGGGGACCTAGTCGCCAAATCCTGGGTGTGGAGAATCATCATCCACAACCCTTTTTTTTTAGTTGTGGCGCCACTTGTAGAGTCAATAGGATAATCGGAAGCAGGAAAGATGAAAAATATGCACCCGCCTTCGCCGGGAATCGAACCACGGACCTCTGGAATACCGGCTCAGAGTGCAGAACCACTACACCACGAAGGACGCTTGGAAAGCGGGAGAAATACCTTATGTACTCCCTTTTTAAAGGACGACTAGGGTTTTAGGGGACCTAGTCGCTCAATGCTGGGTGTGGAGAATCATCATCCACAACCCTTTTAGTTCGGGCGCCACTGTAGAGACATTAGAATATTTTTCTGGGAAGCAGCCAAGATGAAAAATTAGCAACGCCTTCGCCGGGAATCGAACCACGGACCTCTGGAATACCGATCCAGCATGCTGAACCACTACACGACGAAGGCACACTAGGGAAGTGGGAGAAATACCTTATAACATAATCTCCTCAAGACTAGAAGAGAAACACGCTAATGTGACAATCAAAATCGTAAAAACAACCTTGTATTTAGCGAAAGTATATTGAAACACTCAATCGATTTCGAGGGCAGCTAATAGTCCCTCCTCATCTGGAGAAAGAAATACATAGAAAGAAGAAAAATAAAGGGGAAGAAGTCTCAGAAACACGTGGTCCTTATTAGCACTGCATGTGGTTATAACCGGATTTTTAATCAGAGTTACACTGGCCGCCTACTTTTACTGGACCAGGCTATCTGATCAAACATGTAACACAAAGAACAAGAAAAATGAGCGAAGTTAAAAATAGGAAGCGAGGGGCAACGTCACCTTCACGATCAAAATCTGAACTTCGAATAATGGAAAGCAACCACTGAACAGATTTTTATACACTCTGGTGAGGAGGGACCTTTAGCTGCCCTCGAAATCGATTGAGTGTTTCAATATACTTACGCTAAATACAAGGTTGTTTTTACGATTTTGATAATCTCCTCATTCAATTGCTTGCAAACACAGATCAATTGTTAACTGATCTGTATTATTCTATTAGTTATAATACAGACCTTTTATGGTGTGTGTGTGTGTTTGTTTGATTGTTTGTATCAATGAAGAGTGATGATACCGCCCTTGCTATTACTTGAGGTGGACGAGATTAATTTGGTTTATTTGATTATGGTAAGCAAGGACAATCTACCTGAGAGAACAAAGCGATGACTTTGTGGGGAGCTTTGTAAGAGAAACTGGCTATATACTTTCTAAGAGTATATACGTTACACATGGGGTAAACCTGGAAAATGCTTATGCAGCCAGCCCGTTTGATTGGGATCGAAACTATATGGAACTATTAGCATTCAGGGACTTTACCGCTAGGCCGCAAGTGGGTACTCGGTTGGCCTAATGTTGAGTATAGTGACATTATTTTTAATTCAAAACATGTAAGGAAACAAATGATCTTGATTTTAAACATGATTCATTTACTATACAAGTTTGTCAAACTTCAGTGCTAACGATAACTATTAATTTCAATCCTTTCAGCAATCCAATCAGTTTTAACTGCTAATGCTTATATATACCGTATTTGCTTGCACATTTCCCTTTTACTTACTAATTTTACCACTTGAAAGCGGGTATGGAAAAGCACGCGGAGGATTTATTTCATATTAAAAGCATGCAGAAAGGATATATATTGCGTATTTCAGAAAGGATATATACTATCAGTTTTAATAACATTCTACTTACTTGCACAAAATACTTTCCTAATTGTACATACAATATTCAGTGTCACCATGAACCTGAAGTTTCTAAATAATACGCTGAAAACCAGAGAGGTAGTAAGTGAGGGGGGAGAATATGCCAGTAAATATGTTATACGTGTATTGTAGATGATGACACCAACTACTCCTTAATCATGGCCGAGATGTTAAAAGATGTTGCTGACATAGAAATAGAATGCTTAATAGAGGGACGGAATTTAGAAATCCATAACTGGTTTAGATAATCACCGCATAACTTTATTTTCTTGATAGGACATATATTCTTGGTTTACACATCACTATGGGGCAAAAAGCACCTTACATTTTACATTCAACTTATCACATGTCGAGAAATAGACAATACAGCGAGGCAGAGAAGCACGCGCTAAAGGGGCAAGAGAAAGTAGAAAAGTGACTGCGCGTTTCAGTAAAGGGCTATTTATAAGACTTGAATTTTTGTTTAAAATCTGGACTGCAATTGGGCAAGAGCTTGACGGCACTGCAGATGATAAATGCGGGTTAGTTTTTCCAGTGACGCAGCTTAGATTCCAGGAAGGGCCGGTACATAAGTCTTATCGCAATAGCCTTAATAGAAATCCGCAAACTTTCACAATGTGATAAACTCTGGCAAGCATGCACATAACCATTCTTCAGGCAATCATTCTGATAACAATCCTTCAGTTAAGCAATGTCGCCATTTTCGTATGCGCTTTTTTTATTGTATTCCAAGGTCCAACATTTTTTACAAAAAAATAATAATATTTTTTGCCTTCAATTTAATTTTAAAATACAAGCTGGTGGAATTTACCAGCAATGGATGAAGTGTCAGCAAAATTTAGACACAGACAATTTTGCCGCAAAATGTCTAAAGGGAACAAGAAGGAGATTGCCAAGATCTCTGCGATGTCGAGTCTCCGCAATTCTCTGATGTTCTTTTAAGAAAAAAATAAATCGCTGTGTACTTGGGAAGAAGAACAGCCTAAGAAAATTACCTGAAGATTTAATGAAGAATATAAGTGCTTTATTTTTAATGTCTCACATAATCCTTATTAAATAATTAAAATCTTAATTTAATTATTAAAATTTAATTATTTTAATCCTTAATTAAATAACTAAAATTTAAATTGCTAATATTACTTTTCGTTCCATATGTTCACATTGTTTACTGACTTACGATAGATACCAATAGGTCAAGAATCTTCTAAAAAAAAATTCGCGAAAGGCATCACAGAAAAAGTTTCGGATATTTATCAGTAGAAATTACATATTTCAGAATACTTTAAAAAAAATAGCATATACAAAAGTAATTTGTTCTCGGCTATCAGCAGAGATATAAATAGTAAATCCATATCTGTACCATATTCTAAGGAAAAGCCAGACTGATGTCTACTCACCCGTTAGGAAATGGATAGCCCGCTAAAGCTGCAGAGTCGTAAGGATAATACATAGATGCTGCATACGGGAGACTTCGCCACGCTTCCAAATTGTCTTTCAAGTCGAAACCGTTCGCCTGTGAAGAAGAAAAGCATGACATGAGTTATTATACGTATACGTACAATCCACATGATTGATCATTTATTAATAAATGTTCTTTGTGCGCAAAACAAAATATAATGAGACTTAAGCTGACAGGTAATAATTTTCTTGAAAAATAACGCAGAAATCCTTATAATTTTGGTGGATGTGGACAACAAGTGTTCCATAAAATATTATATTTCATAACAATTCAGTGTAAACAGAATTAATATTTTTGCACACCCACAGAAAAATGGCATATTGAAACTACTTTTTTCCGCTTCCTTTGAAGTTAAAATCATAGCTTTTTGGTATTATACTTATATTTATGCCTTAATTTTATAGCCATAATTGGTGTTATACTATTATTAAAATATAAATATAGTAAGCAAGTTGAAAGAGTAATAATGTACATATTTAACTTAATTTAATTTCGCAAATACGATCGGTCAGCGTAAAATGCATTATAATGCAGTATTATAAATCTTCGCTTTAAGTATTAAAAGTGAGGACACAGCTTTCAACATGATTCACTCTATAAATGTAAAAAGTAAATTATTTATGATATGTAAATCAAAATTCGTTATTATAATTTATTTTGTTGTATTAAGCATTATATAAATATATGTAAGGAAATATAGGCGCCTGTTGCATTTTATAACATTGCATTCTAACCTGTCAGTTTTTAATTCAGTTTTATTTAAAAAAAGATTTGCAGCGGAGTATGCAAGTGTAATATGTCACACTAATCCACTTTGCAACTGACTGAATTTATTTTAAAAAAACCTGATGTGTACACCACATGACTTCCTTGTATTGGAATATTAAATTATACGCATTTTTTCTTGCATTTCATTTAAACTTATTGGATTGAATTATCACAATAGAATAAATGCATTCTTTAAAATTCACTCTAATATTTGTTTACCATAGCGACACTCTGGCGCTAGATTCACTTAACAGTATTAATAATTATATAACAGTTAATAATAATTATTTAACGGAAACTAAGTTAACTGTTATATAATCCAATAATTATATAACAGATAACGTATATACATCTTTCATATTATAACTCATAATGCACAAAATTTATATCATTTAAAGAATAGAATTATCTAATCGTTTCCACATGTTCTATTCAAATACTATAATAAAGCTAGAATGATGTATAAAAGAAATTAAGCAAACAAAACGAAAAAGAAACAGATTTTCACAGACGATTGAGTATTTCTCATTTAATTAATTCAGCTCTCACTTCGCGAGAAGGCAAAAATACATAAAAACTCAAAATATCTATATTAAAAATTACGAATTAAATTTCAAACACTTATTTCCTCGAAAAAATTCCAGAAAGAATTAAGCTTGATTTAATTGGCAATAATAAATGAATGCGTTATCTTTGTTGTTGCGAAGCTAAGTTTCTCTAGATTGGCATCAAATCCACTAGTCTCTTGTTTCAAATGTAAACATCAATGGCCGCCATTAAAACAGGGCTAGCGGCAATTAAACAACTTTAAAATTGCTGATAAATTCTAAAAATATTGCACACAGATTTACTAAAGGCATAAAATCCTTAATCGGAAGATAAAAACAACCTAATTCGATCATTTTTAAAGCAAAAAATGTACATTTTACAAACATATAAGAGTAAAGAAACTGAGATCACTGAGCCGGGTAACAGAGTGGACGTTTGGTGCGGCCGATTGCAACCAAAATACGAGGTGCACATCTACATGTTATAGCAGTCCTATATACAAAATTTCAACTTTCTGAGGCTACTCGTTTTTGAATTATGCGAGATGCGTACGTACGCACGTACGTACATACGTTTGTACAGACGCCACGAAAAATTCTCTTCAGAATTAATTTTAAAGCAGTTTTATAATTTTTTTGAAGGAAAAGAGTATTTTATTCTGTCCTTACGTACAGATACCACGCAAAAACTTCGTTAAATTGCATTCGAAAGCCGTAAAAATGGATATTTTCGTTGAAATATGCTGCCTGAAAGTTTTCGCGATTACAATACTTCCTACTTCCTTTTTACTTCGTAAAAGGAAGTAAAAATGAAATTAGCGTTCCAGATAAAGTACTAAGATGCATGTTTACAAATACGCATATATGCGCTTGTTCATCTCAGCATTTCGTCATCATATTCTTTCACTTGGTTTTATAAATCCATTTATGTTTAAACGTGTGCCTTCTGTACGTATTCAGCTTATGTTTTCGGCAAACACGTGTATGTATTTGACTTGTGTTTTTATGCATCTAACTTGCATTTCTTGCATTTGGTGTATCATAACCTTTCAGGTTATGAGCCAAAAAATCCACTACCACCACCACTACAGTATGCATCTATATACTAAAATGGGCTGAAGTATGTTATTTTGCTGAGATGACAAGAAGCGTGTGATTTACATTTTGCTTTTCTAATTGCCATTTACATTTGCTTTTCTGATACGAAATATAAATTCGAAGGAAACAATATATATAATAATTTTTATTTTAGTTTAGCGATAATTAATTTACGTCTTGCATTCAATAAACATTTCATATTTTTCAACTTTTTTTTTCCTGCTTTGTGACATGATACGTTTTGAAGACTTCTAACGGCTCACGGCAATAGATTGCAGTTGCTTTGTATTTCATAGTCTTTTCCAGTTTTAAGATAACCCACCCTACATTACGCCTTAAGACAAAAGAAATAAAATGATGAAGTTAGAATATCTTGCAATATTTTTAGAGATCCTAGACAAAAGACCTTCCTATGTTTTAGGAAAGCAACGAGCCAGAACCAGTCGTTTGATGGTCGCCGCTCAAAATGTCGGGTCCTTGGCCCATGACGTCACCAAAGTTAATCTGAGGTGCATGACTCTTTCACATTTCAGACTTTAACAGAACTTAATGACGCCCTTTTTTGCCAAATATATATGAATTACTCGACAAATAAATCAGTTCCACAATCTAACCAGCTAAGTTCCACAAAGAAATATTTACATTATTTTTTCTGTTTATTCCTAGGGGTGCTATAGCTTTTGAAAAGTGAAACTGCAGAAAGTAATACTGGCATTCTTTTACTAACAATTAACCTAACAAAAATCCTATGTCTTCTTGTCCTTTAGTCAGTAAATCTAAATGATATTTACAACAAAATACCAGCTAAAACTTCCAATTTTGTCAATATTCTTTTAGATGAAACATAATTCATCGAAATATGGGAAATCCTAATTAGCCTGTCGTCCAGAATTATATATCTCTTTCCTAATGTCTCTATCTCGAGGCAACTGCTCGTGAAATTATGTGGGAAAATCAGAATGATATATACGATGATTCAAAATTATTCTTTCTCCTGAGCAGATAACATCTGTAAGCGGTTACATCTAGAATTGCGAATGAGATATTAAACATCTACAATCCCCAAATGACATTTGGAAAACAAAATAACATAGCTTCAAAAAATATATTATGGGATACATCATTACATTCTAGAAATGTTACGCAAGTGAAAAGTCAGAAAACTTGTAGGATTGGGAAAACTGCTTAGGACTGATTTTCCGTTTATAAATTTTTGCTCTTCTGGCACGAAAAAAGTTAATGAAAATTTCCTTTTGAATTAATTCCCAATTCAAAAATAAGCATATTTTTCTTAAATTAAATTTATCAAAATTTTAATGATTATTTTCTGTAGTAACAGTTGCAGGATGTGCAGTTCTAAATGATGTGTTGCCATCATTTAGAATTTTCCAGAAGCCAAACGTATTTTACTAACATCACTTAACTTTAATACAAGTATTTTCTTACCTTTTGATTGCATTTAAATTACGATTTTAATTTGGTTTTGGATCACAAATTTCTTTTATTACACATGACACGCATAACAATATAAATGCTACATTTATTCTATTTTTGAGGCCATCATTTTAAGATGCACTATTTAATTTTAGTTTTTAAGTCCAAGTCTCATTGAAAAAAAAAAAAAAAATCTGAAATGTTTCAGATTTTAAATTACGTCTAAAGGGGCGTTTTTTAACATTTTGTGTGTTACCTTTCTTTATTAAATATCATGTTCTTCGCACTTAAACCATAAGATCCAGTGCAACAGCAATATCGCAAAATAGTTTTAAAACGAGCATATCTTTAGAATTTCCGATACAGAGACTCACGCGCTGGAGATAAAAATGTTTTTTCTGCACCAACGTTGCCATTGCTCGCTTTGAAATCCTTGAGTTTGTTAATCAAAAATTCGTCAAAGTTTTAAAAAATAGGAAATCGATCATAAAACAAATTTCACAATTTCAAATTTGGTCTTCCACATGCTCATATTCGTTGGAGGATTCCGTATTCAAAATTCGATGACTCTATGTACCGTTATTTATGAACAATGTGAGAAAAATATACATACATTTACGCAGATTTTCATTATTAATTCTTTCAAATATAATGCAGGACTCTAACATTTTATGGCAACAGTTTGAAAAGTGAACCGACATTTATCCGTCCGACGCAAAATGCCAAAACGAAAGCAATAGTCCTTCGGGACTCAAGTCCCTTTGGACTAAAAATTATGAAATCAAATGCTGAAATGTATCTGACAGTTATTTTTTAATGACTGTCTTAAGACTTATAAACTACCACATTCCTGTTTAAGTTAGTAATTTGGAAAAGTTTATCATTTCCGAATAATTACTTATTATTAAAAATATACAAATCTGCTATCAATTCTAGGACACATCCCTTTTTCGTGATATTTAATAATGGAAGAAGTTGTCTTAGATTTGAAAAAATACGACATATATTTGCAATCAAATACAAACACATTAATAATGAGGTTAGTACCGTAATAAGCAACAAAATACTATAATGCGTATAATGAATTTTTATATATATTTAATTAAATTTGGATACAGATTTACAAGAGAGAGGGATTGTTTAAGGGGGGAGAGGGGTAATTGTAATAATAATTTCAGAATAATGACTTACTGAAAAATAAAGCAGGGATGAA